GGCGGCGTCAGTACGGGAAGGAGGTGGTGGTGCCGCGAGGGCGAGCTTCTGGCGCGAGCTCTGCCCAGCACCGGCACGTCTGCGAGGCGCGCTCTGGCCTCTGGGTCCAGGTCTCCGGAGTGAGGCAGGGGTCCCCGACACCACTTTGCGCTCTGGCCGGTTCTTACAGCTCAGAGCACACCTGGGGCTGTGGAGGCGCGCGAGACGAGATGAGGGGTTTCCTTGTGCAGGGAAGTCGCCGCGCCCGGGACGCGATTCTTCTTCGTGCTCCTGCGCGGAGTCTTGAAGCTCTGGGTTGGAATCCGGGTCATCCCAGAAATTCCAGTGCTAGTCTTTGAGAAGGGGCCAGAAAACACCAGTAAGGGAGCGAGGGGCGCAGGGCAGGGAGGAGTGCTCCCAGGCCAGGGGCTCACCGCCGCCCGCCCCTCCGCTGCAGCCCCTGCTTGGAGCCTGTTCCAGGGAAGACCGCCTCCGAAACCTGCGCGCGGAGGAGCAGGCGCCCAAGGCGGGCTGGGGCCAAATGGGCCGCAGAGCATGCCCATTCTCCCCCTGGCAGGGCAGGACAGACCATCGGCCCGGCTCTCCGGGAGGGCTTCTTCTGCAGCCCCCGACTCCACTGGGGCCTCAACCCCAGCTTCCTGCCACAGTGGACATTGTGGAGTGGGTTGTCTGCTCAATGATCTCCCGGTGAATTCATCTCCTATTACGTTGTGACAGTCTCCTGCAAATATGGTGGCATGACAGAGCACGTGTGTCACCTCATCTGGCATTAGAAATCCAGGTGCTTTTGGCTGGTTTTGCTGCTCCGGGTCTGTGGGCTGAAATCAGGCCATCAGCAGCTGACCCTTAGCAGGGGTCCGGGCAGAGGCTATCTCTGGGCTGTTCAGACACTGGCAGGGTCCACCTTGGGCACTGTGTGACCCCTGGCAGTGGCTGGAAGGTGTCCCATCACCTTCACGTCAGCAAGTCCTCACACGTCAAATCTCCCTGACCTCCTTTTCTGCCCCCGTTTCTCCCACCTTCACTTGGAGAAAGTTCTCTCTGTTTAAGACTCCTGTGACTAGGTTGAATTTTCACAAATAATCCAGAATAGTGATAGTGCACGTGTACAAGAGAGAGAACCTCCATAGAGTTCGGTCATGCCACAGTCCCTCCTGCTGGGCCTCCAGCCCACCAGAACCCTGGGCCAGGGCTCCAACCACAGCATGTGGTTTCCCGCTGTGCAGTCTGGCATGCTCCTGGCTGCACCACAGAGCCTGGGCCAGGTCCTAATGACATCTGCAGAGTGGCCTTTGTCATGTAGCCTAGCATTCTTCATGGGCATGAGAATGTGGTGTCTGGGGCAACGTCCCTGGATCTCCTGGCAGCCCACCCCACAAGGCTCCCACCCTTAACTGCCCATGAACAGAGACCCTTCCCATGAACAAAGCAGCGTGCTGCGTTCAGTGTGGGAGGCAGAAACTGTGCACACGTGTGTTTGCTGTGTCGAAGGTGGTCAGTGCTGTGGGGAAGGGCCCAGCAGCAGGCCCGGTGAGGGGTGGGCCTAGTAGTCCTGCAAAGCCAGGCTTTCAGCAGCTGTAGAGGAGGCGAGGGGGTGAGCCCCTTGGGTTCTTCCGAGGGCAGTACTTTGCCAACATGGGACCAGTCAGAGCTGGATGGTGACATGTTCGGAAAGCAGAGCGGCTCGCCCTGGCGGTGCGGTCAGTACCACGGTGAACTTGGTGCTGGAAGCCACATGGCTAGCCACTGGTCAGCCTGAACCATGATAGGTGCACACGTGTTGCCCAAGACCTAAGACACTAGAGGCTAGGGAGAGTGGCTCGCAGCGTGCCCGGGCCTGGTGGAGACCCACCGCCCCATTTCTCGCCTCATGCACACGCGCTGTCATGAGCAAAATAAACTGATGGTGCAAGAAAGGGATGAGACCTGCTGGACAGGGGGGTTTCAGGCAGGAGCCCACATGGCTCCCCTGGGTGGCTGTCGGGAGCCCGATGTGAAGCTCCAGGAAAGTGAGCAGAGGGCAGTGGGAGTTCTTATGGACGCGACCCACTTTCTCAATGGGGCAGAAGACAGACCATCAGTTGAAAGTAAGGATGAAGGAGCAGGTGCTGGTGGACACGCAGAGCAGCCCGTGACCTCATGCACATCACCGACCACTGAGCCTGCTGGGGAGACCAACAGCCACTCAGGGCCACAGTCTGCTGATGTTTGGCCTCTCTGATCTGCTTTGGAGAAGTCAGGTAGGAGGATTCTGGGTGAGATGTAACCAAGATCGCACTTGTGCCAGGTGAGAGCCGCGACGTGTGCTGGGGTGGTGGTGAGGGGGCGTCAGCCAGGGAGTCTGAGGGGAACGGCCATGCTCGGCCATGGCATTTGAGCTGAACAAGGAGGTGCAGTGGGCTCCCAAGACTGGCTGTGACTGTGGTGACTGAGAGGCGCTCTGTCCCCTCATGTCAGCGGGGTGCCCCCTTTGGGTGCACACGGCTGGGAGCTGGACTGGGCTGCCTGGTTCCTCTCTCATGTGCTTTGGGGCCAGCAGACAGCCATCGCCCTGTGCTTTGTCTTTCCGTCCAGAGCCGCCCCATGGTCAGCCCACCTAGCCAGAACTTCCTTCCAGGAGAAACTGCTGTGTTCTAAGCACACTTCCCATCCGGCGGGCATTCCTTGGGTCTCTGTCGGAGTCCTGCTTCCTAGCATCCCATTGGTTACAGAAAGCCGTGTTGGGAAACCCGGCGTTGGAGTGGGCAGCCCCGCAGATGTGCGGGCAGCTGGGAAGCATGGTTTATGGCCTGCACAGTGCGTCATGCCCTTCCCTTGGACCAGCCCATGGCCTGGTGGTCAAGGTGGCAGATCCCACGTGGCCAACTGTGCAGTTTGGGTCCTGGACCCAGGAGCTTGAAAACCACACCCCGTGTGTGTGTGTGTCTGAGCCTCAAATCCCAAAAGGTGAGAGAGCTGGAGAAGGGCCTGTGGAACAACAGACACAGGGTGCCCTCTCCCTCTCCCTCTCTGTTTCCAGTAAGTGCATGCACCCTCTAGCAAAAAAGTAAGAAAGGAAAGAACAGCATGGGGACTGGCAGATGGTGTAGTCATCCCACAGTTGACCATGGCTCGAGTCCCGGACCTGGCAACTAAAATCGCACACAGGGCACGTGTGCATCTGTGCCCAAGATATCAAGAAGAAAATGGAGGAGAAGGGATTGTGGCATGGCCATCCCCCAGGGAGTGATTTATCGCTTCTGTCTTTCCAATGAGTGCATGCACCCTATAGCAAAAATCTCTCTTAATAAAAAGAGAGAAAAAATTTTAAAAATGAAGAAAAATAGCACAGTATACTCAGCCCCTCCTGAGTTCTTCAAAATTACTATCCTATTTTTATCTTTTTTTTTTTTCTTCTTTGAGAGAGGTTTTTGTACTTGACAGAAAGAGAGAGACAGAGAGACAGAAAGTGATAAATCACCCCCCAGGGGGGATGGCCATGCTACAATTTCTTTTTTTGTTTCGTTTCTGTTTTTCTTTTATTATTATTATTAT